CCCCAAAACCCCAAAACCCCAAAACCCCAAAACCCCAAAACCCCTTTATGATTTGACAAACTTGAAATTACTCAAATTGTAATAGTTTAACGATGATAGGCTCCCCGAAGACTTTCCTGGCGGTCATGTCACCCAAGTACATTTTCAATTTAAGAACCCCTCTCTTTCCAGCATTTTTTGGTATCAAGAATTTTATCTCGATGTTGCCTTCCTCGCCCCTTCGAAGCTGGGTATTCACTTTCTGTCTTTCCAGCAATAAGTCAGAATCATTTTCGCAGTCTAAGACAATGTTGTTGCTCCATGAGAGATGACTCATATTTTTTATCTCAAAATTGAGAGTGACTAGATCACCTTTCTCACACCAAACTCCTCTCTCATAATCCTGCTTATTCATTATCAGCGCCATGTTTCTGAGGACTGGGTCAAGCCTGACATTTCCCTTTGATTTGTTACGATTTAGAATAGCACGCGGATACTCTTTCTTGGGAACTGGAGGAGTGTAAATCCCTAACATTTTCTGTCAGAATTTATCGTACTCAGCTTGATCTAACTTAACTCCTTTAGGGATCTTAAGGAATACATATCCGTCTTTTCTTTTGAGCTCACATCTTTCACAAAGCGTATAGCCATTTCTAATGGAGCAAACAAATCGGGTTTCAGACTTCAGGTCTCTACTGCATTCACTACAGATGATCTGTTCGATGGGTATCTTTTTCTGAACTTTACGATTCGAACCTGACTCAACTTTCTCCTTCTTAGTTATAAATGGATTTCTAGTGATTTTTGGAGCTTCATCTTGTTTAGTATAATTCTTTGCTACAAAAGGATTTTTCAAAGGATCATAAGACCCTTTTACGGGATACGACTTCAAAGGCACTTCCTCATCATTCAAATCAATTGTTTTCTTGTTAACAAACTGTTTTGTTGAATTATCATCATCAACTTCTAAGTCAAAATCAGAGTCCGAATCAAAGTCAGAGAGGGTCTTTTGTAATGGCTCATCTTCAGAACTATACGAATGGAGATACTTGAGCCCTTTCTTGGGAATTTCTTGAGGTATAGACGCCTTCTTGTCTATTAAACCCTTATTCTTCACAAAAACTGTATTGCGTTTATGTACTCTCTGAGCCTTCTCTGTTTGATCTAAGAGATACTTCTGGTAAGCGTTCTGGGCTTCTTCTTGAGTGAGTTTAGCTTCTTTAAAATTATGATTTTTGCAGAACTTCATCGTATCAGGCTCAATTCTGCTTTTTCCTTCTTCTAAAGACTTCTTTTCAGTCTCATTTTGAAGAAGCAGGGATTTAAGATACTCATTTTCTTTCTGTAACTCATCAAGTCTTAGGAATCCTAGGTTTGACTGAGGAGCTAGATTAGGTCTGTCCAAGGTTGAGCAGATCATTGTATCTCCTAAGATAGATTCATGAATAGTAGCTTCATCATCAATAGTCTTGCTAAATCTTCTATCTTCAGAATTGTTATTGAGGAAGACTTTAACACTAGGCTGGTTGACGGTTTCTAAGTACTGAAGGAAAACTTCATAATCCTCATCATCTGAGATATCTACCTGGTCATCTTCATTATCAAGGTATCATGCCTTGTATGAATCTTTTCCATACGAGAAGTCTTCATACTTGTTCTGAATAATCGAGTTGAATTTTTGGAAGCTCCTCGGTATAGTGGCTATCTTCTTTACTCTGTTATTATATTTCAACTTCAGACAAGGCTTCTGATGTTTTTCCGCAAAAACATTAGTGGAATCTTGAGCAGGTACTGCTTGAAACAAACTACTGCCATTAGAAATGGCAGCACTAGCAAAAGGGTTTTTCTTTGCAGCATTAGGATTTTTATCAAATAATTCACTCTTGAATGTTCGATTGGAATTATCGAAGTACATCTTTTGGCTTCTTACTGAGAAATATTATATTGTAAAAATTTTCTTTTCTAAAGGGGTTTTGGGGTTTTGGGGTTTTGGGGTTTTGGGG